GATCGGTGACCACAGATCCCAGACCGGCGGTAGCCGCAGATCCCGGACCGGTGACAGAGCCCGGACCGGTGACAGAGCCCGGACCGGTGACAGATCCCGGAGCGGTGACCGCTGATCCCGGACCGGTGACAGATCCCGGACCGTGAGTGGCCGCAGATCCCGGATCGGCGACAGAGCCCGGGCCAGTGACTGCAGAGCCCGGACCGGGAGTGACCACAGAGCCCAACCGGGGGTGGCCGCAGAGCCCGGACCGGTGACCACAGATCGGTGACCGCAGAGCCCGGACCGGGAGTGACCGTTGATCCCGGACCGGTGACAGATCCCGGACCGGTGACAGATCCCGGAGCGGTGACAGATCCCGGAGCGGTGACAGATCCCGGACCGGTGACCGCTGATCCCGGACCGGTGACCGCTGATCCCGGCTCGGCGGTGGCCGCTCGCCCGCAGGTCCGGGGGGGACAGAGGGAGGGTCCGGGGGGGACAGAGGGAGGGTCCGGGGGGGGACAGAGGGATGGCCCGGGGGGGTGGCCGTGCCACGGGCTGAGTCCCCGGGGGTGGTGGCGGTCCCTGGGTGTCGCTTTGGTGTCGCCGCCGCGGGATTTTGGTGTCCCCACCCCACCTCGGTGCCCTCCTGCGATGTCCCTCGGGGTCCCGTTCCCGGGGGGGGGCGCGTCCACAGGGGTCCCCCCGGTGTCCCCTGATGTCCCCCGGTGTCCCCTCGTTGTCCCCTCGGTGTCCTACAGGGGTCCCCCGGTGTCCTACAGGGGTCCCCCGGTGCCCTGCGGTGTCCCGCCGGTGTTCCCCAGTGTCCCTTAGATGTCCTGCAGGTGTCTCGCAGGTGTCCCCCGGTGTCCTCCGGTGTCCCCTCGGTGTCCCCTCGTGTCCCCCCGGTGTCCCTCGGTGTCCCGCGGTGTCCCCGCGGTGTCCCCAGCGCCCCTCGGTGTCGCGCAGGTGTCCCTGCTGTGTCCCCCCTTGTCCCTCCGTGTCCTGCAGGTGTCTCTGGTGTCCCGCAGGTGTTCCCGGAGGTGACCCCACTGTCCCCGCGGTGTCCCCCATTGTCCTCCATTGTCCCCCATTGTCCCCCGGTGTTCCCACAGGTGACCCCGCTGTCCCCCGGTGTCCCCAGTGCCCCTCGGTGTCCCCAGCGCCCCTCGGTGTCGCGCAGGTGTCCCCGCGGTGTCTGTCATTGTTCCCCGGTGTTCCCGCAGGTGTTCCCGGAGGTGACCCCGCTCTCCCCCGCTGTCCCCCGGTGTCCCCACGGTGTCCCCCATTGTTCCTCCGGTGTCCCCGCGGTGTCCCCGGTGTCCCCCGGTGTTCCCTCAGGTGACCCCGCTGTCCCCCGCTGTTCCCGCAGGTGTCCCCGGTGTCCCCGCGGTGTCCCCATGACGGTCACCTACACCTCCCGGGTGGCCACCGCGCGCTTCGGGGGCTTCTCTCAGCTGCTGCTGCTGTGGCGGGGGAGCATCTACAAACTCCTGTACCGGGAGCTGCTCCTCTTCCTCACCGCCTACCTGGGGCTCAGCCTGGCCTACAGGTCCGGGACACCGGCGACACCGGGGGGA